TTCACCTCTTTTTCGATCATCCATGCCCACAGCTTCCGACACACCGTACTGCCAGCTGTCCATTGATGCGTTTGGAAGGCTTGGGACGGAAACCTGTTCTAGATCGTGACTGGACACAATCCTTTCCAATTTAAACCAAAAAACAAACATGGGAGACAGAGGAAATCAAAGGGAGCCAAATGGAGTCACCATGACGGAACGGCCTCCTTTTTCCCAAGCAGACAAAGAGGAAGACGCAAGGAAGACACAAGGAAGACACAAGGAAGACATGGACGTTCATATGGAGTCACCATGACGAAACAGCATCCTTTTCCACACAAACTAAAAGAAAAAGCCATCATAACCGAACAACATCTTTTCTCCTAGCCAAACCAAAAGGCGGAACACAGCTGGGAGTCAAAGAGTGAGAAAGGGAATGAAAGATCGCCAGTGAAAACTCACGGCGTAACAGCATGTGTTTTTTCCAACACAAACCAAATGGAAGTTTCATGGGAGACAAAGGAGCCGAAGGAGAGTCAAAGAGAGTCCAGTGGAGGCATCATGATTGAACAGCATTATTTCTTACACTTATAGCTTACACATGAGGGACGAAGGGAGAAAAAGACAAAGCAAGACAAGTCGGAGACAAGTGGAGACAAGCATTTAACACGGACAATCATGGTGGAATGGGATCCCATTATTGAGGAAAGAAGAAGGGATACAAAGGGAGACAAGTGGAAGACAAGGATATGACACAGAGAAAAAGATCCGTTTCTTTCAAGCATTGAGAAGCGCATTGGATTGTAGCTGTTTCGGAAAAACCGTTCTGACCATGGCACATAAATATGTACATGGTATCGATACACATATTTTTATAGTGTATTCTACATATTCAAAACATATCAAAACAGAGTACTGTTGGGACATCCAGAAAACAGTCAAGTCAAGGAAAGGACATGTTACCATGACATTTGCCAAAAGAAAGACCTTGAACATCATGCAGAATCATGCGTATTGTCTCAGCCCCAGCTTTGGAAGACAAAGCTAAGTCACAACCTATCTGGTCTCAGAAAGTGGAAGTAATGGAATCTACCTGCAAGCAATTGCAGGCCTGCTAGGTAGAATCTGATGGCTGCATGTGAAGACCCAGAAACTCATAGCATTTGTCAATCGTGATTCGCAGCAATTCGGATACAGGCACAGTGCTGGACCAGAAACAAATGTAAAGCAGACACTTCAGCCAAAGCATAGAGACAAATGCAAAGGCTCTACATGGCTCTACAGCTGCGAAACTGAGAAGCGCTTTAGGATACTTTGGAGGACCTTCTCATCCTTCTCGACTAGGATTTTTCATACTCGCCTTCTTCGCACTGAATGCAGCAATGAATCACACGCATCAACAGTCAATTGGTTTTGATTCTTTTGATGGTTGTGTCACAACTTTGAGATGTGTACAGAGACTGCCGAACAACGGTTCCCATAGGTTTGATCGTGCAAGGAAAGTATATCGCTGACAACACGTTCCAATTGAAGATGGAAGCATTGGAGGTGTATAAAAAATAAGATAGGGCAAGTTTCAAAAACCTCAATTATATTTTCTGTGCTTGCGTACTTTATTGAGGAAACGTGCAGAAAGGTGCCCTCACACTTGCCAAATTCCGAGGAAGCGGTAGAAGCCACCCATGAAGCACGGAGAAGGTACATCTCAAGAGATGCGAAAAGATAAGACAAGGAGATTGCAGACCAGGGCGCGTATAAACAATCATGGAACATCATGTACTCCAAGAGTAAGAGCCGGGTCTTAGCCAGATCACAGCCATGAAATGCCATGAAATGCCATGAAATGCCATGAAATGCCATGAAATGCAAAGTGTCGACCCTTTATGGAAAGGACACTGCATCTGAGCTTTGGGTAAAGCAAAAGTATACTAGATATTACGATATTACTATAGATATTACTAGATACTACTAGGATCATACTAGTCACTGGCAAGGCTGGGTCAAGTGTAAAGTGTTGGCATTCTCTGGCGTGTTTGCTGCTCCCCCCCCTTCAGCACAAAAATGCACGGATGAAATTGAAAAACACGTTGCGACCTGCATTGTGAATGTCAATTGCAACCCAGTCTCACCCAGTCTCACCCAGTCTCACCCAGTCTCACCCAGTCTCACCCAGTCTCACCCAGTCTCACCTCCTCGGTTATCACTGGGATGTCTACAAATTCTTGCTTCAGGTGCTCTTCCACCAAGGTCTCCTGGCAGAGACATGAAATCGAGCCTCTGTTTTTGCATTCGCCAGTTTCTTTCTGCGCACAAATGAGCTATCGGGCAATTTGTAGCAAACACGTCGAACTTGAATGAAATTCGCTCTCCGTACAATGTTCAAAGAAATGCGCTCAGTCTGCTTTTCACTTTCAAAGTTCTCAAGGACTCAAGGTCCAAGCTAAAAGAGTCTTACTAGCTAGTAGCATCACAGATCGTACAACACATCTGCACTGGACTCAGGAGTTGGAAGTGAAATTTATTGCGCGAATGTTGAACATGGCACCAACCCATCAGTCTGGGTGCATGACTGATGTCCCAACGCAAGGGTTCATTTAGCACTTCAAAAGGAGACTGCTGAAACAAAAATACAAATCTGGAATACCCGAGATCTATTCAAACCAGCAGATCCAATGTCCCGGGAGCGACATGATTTCGAAATATTTCAAAACCTTTTCCCATGATACTGTCGACTCTGTCGACGTTTAACAATCCAACAAGGTGGGACTACGTCGAAGTGTCTCATTGTACAAGAAATCCACCCTCAATCGTGGAGCGTACCCCTCGGTGCTGGATGATGTGGGCCGGCCTCATTTGATTGAAATCTAACAGGCACAAAAAATTGAAAATCAATCCGGGAACAATAGCTCTCAAACTCCATCATGGCTATATGGTGAAAGGAATGAGCTCGTCTGCCTTTCAAAACTCCGCCCAGGGGTAGGTGAAGGCTTCAAGTGACATTGTGGACTCGTTTGCAGAGCCGCAGCAAAAGATTGACGGGAGTGCAGATAATGTAACAGACGTGGTTCCAAACCCCTATATTGCTACTCTCTTATCTTCCCTGTGTTGGCCCCATGTTGGTCCTACTTGGAGCCGTGTTTGGTCCAACGTTTAAAAGGAAAAGTAATTCATTTTGGCGGTCCAGACTGACCAGTTGTTGAAGAGTTGCAACGCAGTTGCCCAGAGCCGTCTTGAGCCCTTTTCAAGGTGGATCATGTGTCCTTCGATTTAAAGGACATGCACTTCATTTTGGGGGCCACGACTGACCAGTTAGTCAAGAGTTGCAAAGCAATTGCCTTCTGCCATCTTGAGCCCTTTCAAGGCGGATCTATATTCTACTCTATATATTATACTTTAGATTCTACTCCCTATTCTATCTCTACTCTGGTGTGCTCTGCTCTGCTCTACTCTAGTCTACTCTACCCTATTCTCCTCAATATTCTTCTCTAGATTCTACTCCATATTCCACTCTACTCTACTCTGCTCCTCTACTCTACTCGACTCTACTCAGCCCACTGGAATCAAGACTTTTGAGCTACTTCTCTACTTCAGGACTTCAGGATCAGCCAACTGGACTTAAGACTTCTTGGCAACTGCACATGTTCAATTTCCGTAACTCGGAGTTTCTCTACAAATATTCCTTTCATAAGAATTGATCATGTCTAACTTGGTTTAAATTGTAAAAGAAATGAGGAAATGATAGAAAGATGATATGAACGGTCATAAAGATCATAACTCTTGACAAGGACCTTTAGATAGAGATTCAGAAATCATTTTGAAAAATGCACATTGTACCTTTCACAGCAAATTGCGTTGTATCAACGCCTGCTTGATTCTAAATCCCTTCTCATTTACCTTTCCGAGGATATCAATCAAAAAAGAAAAGTCAACTCGTACCGCATAACGGACATCTCTTCTGCCTGATCTCTTTCTACCACCTTCTACCACGCAAACTTTATATAATTGATCCTGGCATTTCCGGGATGTTGGTAAAGCACGGTAAAGCTCGATAGCCTCCTCTGGACATTTGCAATGATTTTCTTTGGGCTGACAGCCTCGTCACTCTCATCTGAGTCTCCCAACGAAGTGTGCTGTTGCACTGTGCGCTGCTGCACTGTGCGCTGCTGCACTGTGCGCTGCTCAATGCTGGCAGGCGCCGCCTGAGCAGCACGATGGACACGCGTGCAATTTTCAAACGCATGTCAAACTCGACAGACTCAACAAACTCGACAAACCCAAACGACTATTTGCAGCTTGTCCAGTTGCTCTGGGTTTGGCTCTGAAGGATCTGTTGTGGTAACAAAAGCACAAAAAGCTTGAGATTAACAAATTGATGGCTTCAAATCATAGATAGAAAGTACCAGGAGCCTCTGGAGGCTGGCATGATGACAATTTCAGACGTACCGGAACCCTGTAAATCAGCCATGAAATTATATAATTTCTTCAAAGAGGTGCTCGCGTCGCTGTCTGCGAATCCAGCCTCCTTCACGACGGAATGGGCCTAGGACAGGCTGCGAGTATGCGAGGGCGAGCACCAGGATCCGCCCAGTGTCTGATCATCTACCCACTTGATGAAAAAACTCTCAATCGTTCTCAATCTCTCAGCTCTTTCTCATGCTTTCTCGCTAATTGAAGGGTCCCCTTGAGTCGTTGGAGTGTGACCAGGACTTCTTGGCGAGAGAAGTCCTTCTCTGTGGGAACTTTGCAACCAAGGCATTTTGATCTAAGCATGTTTTTTTTTGCCCATGAGCTACAAATGCCGTTACTCTAACTTTTTACTCTTTGCAAAAACGGGCTCCACGTGATTGAGGGCACTGGTGCCGCTGGGTTCTCATGGACAGGTCGGGAAGGTTTGAATGTGATGGTCCGCACACAAACCCATACTGCAGAACACTTCCGAGAGGCTGCAAGACTTTGAAATGCTAATAATAGTTATTAACAATTAATGACAATAAAAATAACAATAACAATATGAATATGTGTCATCCTATCTCTATGCAGCCCCCACCACCCAGCCAACGCTGCTCCCCTTCCAAGCTCCCCATTGGTGGAGTGGAGAATGGTGTGGTGTTTGAGTAGTTGGGTCGTTGGACATTTGGATGGCTAGGAAGTCAGGTAGTCAGGTGGTTGCTTCTGCAATTGGATAGGGATGCACGTCTGTATTTATATAATGACCGTAGATCCGAGATTAGGAATCCAAATAAGTCAGAAAGGTATCAAATTTGGACACTTTAGCAGCTGGATGCACACATATTTACATATTTAAGCGATTGCGTTGGCAGCTGGCTAGTAACTTAGTAAGGTACCAGAGACAGTGTACATTAATTAGCTACTAAGATTTTCTAAGTGATCTGGGAGCATATCACTCAGACAACACAAATTATGGTTTGCACCAGGCAAGACACGGCAAGACAAAGTGCCAAATCAGTGATACACTTCGGCACTTGCTCAGAGCTCGATGCGCGTGTTGGTGGCCATGGGCCAAGGAATGTCAGACTTGGCTGACTTGGCTCTGGGGCACTTGAAAAACTTGGTATTTTGGTCGGTCAATTCCGATAAAGACATCAAAACTCAACATGACTCGACCATACTCGACCTATACGGCCCACACTCAAACAGTCAGACAGTTCGTGAGACATGTTGCGAGCTCCCGGCTCATATGTGCTCACCACATCCACACATTCAATCGAAACAACGCAGGTGAACCAGGCCTACAAGGCAAGTGAGCTGAACTGATGGATAACGATGGCTACATCTCCAGCGCTTTTGGAATGCAAATTTCCGGGGAGTTGAGGGCAGCGGACAAAACGATGCGTCTGCCTGGGCCAATACAAGCTACTGAAAACGTTACCTATATATACAGATGTATAGAGGTGTATGCAAATGTATATCGTTTAAAAAGCATTAACCCCATCTTTCGTAGCATCTAGGAAGTGATGGATTCAGAGACTCAGAGCACCGATCTGCGATCCTAAGCCCGTACATCCCGTACATAACTGTCACGAATAAAACGAATAAACTGCACCTTTTTCGAGACAGTTATCCAAAGGCTACGCCAGCTACGCCGGCTACGCCAATTACGCTCCGCTGATTTTGCGGTGACCTCGGTGACCTCGGTGACCTCGGTGTCAACTGAGGGCCAAACAGGTGGAGCTTGTATGCTGGCCTCACATCCGAGGCTCACGGCACTGGAAAAATTAAAATTGTTTGCTATCGTTTGGTATAACCAGAAATAGATAGAAGATGATAGAAGTAGTCTCAAAATGTGTTGGGATGAGATTGGCAAACACATCTTGCCAGAAGTGAACCGATTGTTCAAGCAAATGCATTTGGCAATGACTCGAATACTGTGGAACCTCAAGCCCTTTGAATTCGACCTCGAAATAAACAAATTTGGCCACCTTGCCAAGCTTAACAGGCTCACGGCATTCAATCCATTGAGGCAATTTGGAAAAAAAAATTGGCACCCACCCAATTTTGGCCAAATGCCACTTCCTTCTTGGTTGTGTCAATTGATTTTTTGACCATGTTTCAAGTCAATATCCGGGCACGATGCAGTTTCAAATTTGTAAATCCCAAATTTCGTTTACTGCTACTTGGATGTGATGCATAAAATGAAGTCCGAGGCCTCATGAACTGCTGTCGTATGTAGTCATATTTCATGCTGACTCCTACGCCATATGTAATAGACAAACCACAACTACACATGAGCAACCTGAGCCATCCGGCTGGCCCGACATATGGGGCTAAGTGAATGCCCTTGGCTGCGAAGGCAATGGAAGGTTTTTGGGGGGCCAAATGTCGTGAGACATTAGACTGATGGAAGATGTAAATTAGTGAGACCGGGAATTTTGAATCGAGGGCTCGAAGGATCTCAAGGCTCCTCAAAAGGCATGGGCTGCAGTGCGACAAGAGATTGTTTTCTTGATTGTCGTCCCTAATGTTGTTCCCTCTGTGGTTCACTCTTCCTGGGGTCTGTGATACAATTCTTGGGTTTTGACGTTATTGTGGTTTGACTATTGATCTAGATATAGTTCGAATATATTGATATATATATATATTTCTCTCTCTCTTTAATTATGGTATATTCAAAGCCATTATATATGTATAATTATGGTATATTCAAGGCCATTATATATATAATGATTACATTTACAAGTATTATCTATTTATACTACTATAATTATTTTACATATATATATATGTATGATTACTATAAATATATTGATTTAATTATTATATACATATATACTTATTTTATATATAATTATTGTAAATCATCAATTATATATAGATTTATTTATTTATTTAGTAAAATTATATTTCACTGTTATTTAAATATATATATATATAAATCAATAAATCTTGTATATATATATATAAATATTATTATATTATTTCTCATAAAATTTTTAACTAAATACATATTGTGTTAGATCTAAAAAACAATATATATATAATCTATATAACTATTAAATATAATTAAATAAGTATTCATATATATATATAGTTTTTAAATATATTACTATATTGTAGACATATATATATGTGTGTCTACAATATATATATATATTCTTTTTATGTAACTATATGTATATAACTATGAATTTATTGTTTTATTTACATGTAATTATTATATGTAGAAAAATATGATATATTATATTATATTTATATGTATATTTATATACATATTCACCAACCATAGCTTTGCTTTCGGCACAGCTCGAAGGCCATAAGGACATTAGGCCCACTTGTTTTGGCCACTTTGGCCCAAACAGTCTGCACATGTTTGCAGTATCATCCGCACCAACTTGCTGAAGGTCAATGGCCCCAGATAGTGTTTCCCTTCCACTCTTTCCATCCGTCTTGACAACCGGTACTTGTCTCTTTTTGCACTTGAAACGGGATGCAAGCACGAACCTAAGTTTCAGCTCTGAAAAGCACATGCTGACAAGAACGAGCCACCTGAAGAACAACATCTTTTGTCTCCAGAGGCACTTTCTGCAGATACACCAGAGCCGTCACCTCTTGAACATAAATGTCCATCATCTTTCTGTTTGCCCAGCGGCCTCGACGCTGTAAAAGTCACGGCTTTCAGCCATCTGCATCAGCCATGTAGCTAGAAGCTAACTCCAGCGGACGCACCCCATTGTAAGGCACCAGCGGAAGCTTGAGAGCTTGCAGCACACTACGGAATCGCGACCTCAAAGTATTGCCACTAAAAGGCCAGAGTTTTTGGTGTGGCTTTAGTGGGCCCAGGAAAAGTTCAACAACCTTGAGCATGTCGGGCACGTCCATCTTTGCTGACTGATGACCCGCGTGTAGCGCGTCTTTGGGTCCCGCAAAGACAGCAGGCCAAATCAAATGGCAAGGACCGGCCCCCATCACTCGGCAGTAGGAAATCTTCACGCGTAGCCGACAAAACTTCTCCAGGCCTACCCTGAGTCTCCAAAACTAGTAAATTTAGGTGCCTCAAAATTTGCGTAAATTTCGGGAGTTACTAACGTGGATTTACGTAAATTTCTGCTAATGTTAGTAGGAAAAATTACTTACAACTTACGTTAGTAAATTTTACTAACCTAAGTAAATACACTTTTGATGCACTTTTGACAAAAGCTCGAAGAAAACATGCACTTTTGATGCACTCTTGATGCACTTTTCATTCTTCACAAAATTTACTAACATCAATAAAATTAGCCACAAAAATGCGTAAATTCTTCACTTTTAGTAAATATTCTAAATTAGTAAGTTTATTGGTTTTGGAGACTCAGGGAAACAGGCCTGCCCACATTAATGCCACCGGTCCCGAAAACGGGGTCCAGCCCCAGAGCATTCCTATAGTTATAACATCAAGTGCGACCGGACGAGGCATGGCCGAATGATGACTACTCATTTCACGTTGCATCCAGACATAGCCGAAGTCCCAAGCTCCAGCAGGTTTCCAGCTGGTCAAGGCATTGAGGGTCTCTGCGAAGCTTCCATATGTCTTGCCGCATCTGTACAATAGCCAGAATATCCAGACCTTCGTCCACAGCCCATTTAATGAACTGGCCCAGAAACTTTGCACGCCTCTGCTGCGTGATAAGCAAAACAAGCCCACCACGAGGCACTGGAGGCCTCAGCTCCCACTGTGCAGGAGTCCATCGGCATGGCAGCGACATAGGGGACAAAACGAAAGTCTACAGCACGGGGTGAACGCGCACGCGCAAGCAGGGCACCCTCACAACCACAGCAGCAATCCAGCGATGCTGGATGGAGAGGAAAGCGAGGAAGAGGCGATGGACGAGGCTCCAAAATGAAAGCAAAGGCAAAAACCAAAAAGACTTGGAATGAATGCTCAGAAGGAGTGACAGCCTGGTCTGGCCCTTCACCTGCATAGCCAAGGGTTGAATCGTTGAATCGAAAGGGTTCTGAAATTTGGCATACCCTTGGCTGACATTTCTCGAAACTGCAGACTGACGAAAAACTGACATAAAAAGGTATATTGGCCCCAAGAGGCGCAAACCAGTCTGACCCGCATCGATGCCAATTTTTTTCATATTTGGCAGCTCAGAAAAGCGGTATAAATCATTTTCCTCCCAATCCTCCAGCTGCAAGCTGCCATATCTTGGACGACATCACGAGTGGGGCCATCAGAAGGATTCCATCTGGTTGGCACATAGGGCAGGGCCAAAGAGGGCTGTGGTCACGCACATAGCGTTGACCCGTCTCAGCACAGCCGAAAGGGTGACTGAGCTACTCCACCCTTTCGAAATTGCCCCATGTAAAACATAATTGTCAACCAATGCTACTGCGCGCAAAGGGCGCCTTTCTCGCGAAAGGAAATTGACCAACCTCAATATCGTTGCCTCTTCCAGAATGTTGATGTGGCTTTCTTTCTTGAATGACCACTGGCTGTGCACGTCCCAAGCCGAAGAAAGGGCCACCTCATTGACAAGCTGATTCTCAAGGCCGACAACCTCCAAATCTAACTCATCCGTCCTCTTTTGCGTAACTGCCTGAATTGCCTCAAAAAAGCTGTCGGCTAATGCTTGCACTCTCAGAGGAACGTAGGTGGCGGAGGCCTTGGTGTACCGGCCCTCAACCTTGAGGTGGGGCCCATCACAGGAGCATCTGGCTCTCAGGCACCGCAGATCAATGTTCACACCAAAAATTACACCACCGTAGACCCCAAACAGTGGGTGGATTCAAGGCGTGTTTTTGAGGAACAGGGTCAAACACATGACATGAGAAAGCATCAAGAACCCCTAACCGCACACTGTTTGGGAAAAGATGCAAAATGAGACCACCCGCCACAAAGGGAAACAAGAAGAGAGACAAGCTGGGAGACAAGATAGGAGACAAGACCTCGGGAAGGCGGACACACCATCCAACACCAAGGCGGACACCTTAAGAAAGCCTTAAGAATTAAGAACCCCTAACAGCACACTGGTTGAGAAAAAAAAGCAAAACCAGACCACCCGCCACAAAGGGAAACAAGAAGAAAGACAAGTTGGGAGAGAAGCTGGAAGACAAGAAGGAAGACAAGCTGGGAGACAAGCTAGGAGACAAGGGAGACAAAACCTCAGGAAGGCGGGCACACCTTCCCAACACAAGGAAACAAGAAGGGAGACAATGGGAGACAACAGGGAGACAAGACCTCCGGAAAGCGGACGCACCATCCAACACAGGCACACATGTGGGGAGACAATGGGAGACAAAAGGAAACAAGACCTCGGGAAGGCGGACACAACATCCAACACAAGCACACGCGTGGGGAGACAATGGGAGGAGACAAGACCTCGGGAAGGCGGACACACCATCCAACACAGGCACACATGCGGGGACAATGGGAGACAATTTGGAGACAAGACGTCGGGAAGTCGGACACACCATGTGAGGACACAATGGGAGACAATGGGAGATAAGACTTCGGGAAGGCGGACACACCATCCAACAAAGGCACACATGTGAGGAGACGATGGGAGAGAATGGGAAACAATGGGAGACCAGGGGAGACCAGACCCCGAGAAGGCGGGCACACCATCCAAGAAAAAGAAACAAGAAGGGAGATGGGAGACAATAGAAGACGACACGGGGAAACAAGACCTTGGGAAGGCGGACACACCATCGTGGGGAGCCAATGGGAGACAAGGGGGGACAAGACCTCGGGAAGGCGGACACACCATCCAACACAGGCACACATGTGGGGAGAGACAATGGCAGACAATGGCAGACAAGAAGAGACCAGAGAAGGCAGACATACCATCACAGGCACACATGTGGGGAGACGAGACAATGGGCTTAATAGAGAAGGGGAGACAAGACCTCGGGAAGGCGGACGCACCATCCAACACAGGCACACATGCGGGGAGACAATGGGAGACATTGGGGGACAAGGGAGAGACAAGACATCGAGAAGGCAAACACATCATCCAACACAGGCACACATGTGGGGAGACAACGGGAGACAAGTGGAGACAAGGGCCGGGAAGGCGGACACACCAACCAACAAAAAGGAAACAAGAAGGGAGACTGGGAGACAAAGGGAGACAAGATGAGACAAGACCAAGCTGGACACCTTAAGAATGCGTTGAGAACCCCTAGAGCAGTACACTGTTTGGAGAACAAGAAGGGAGATAATGTGGGGAGAAGGGGAGACAAGATGCTCGGGAAGACGGACACACCATCCAACAAAAGGAAACAAGAAGGGGTACAGTGGGAGACAGAGGGAGACAAGACCCTCGGCAAAAAGGAAACAAGAAGGGGTATAATGGGAGACAAAGGGAGACAAGACCCTCGGGAAGGCGGACGCACCATCCAACAAGGGAAAAGAAGAAGGGGTACAATATGAGACAAAGCGCGACAAGACCCTCCGTAGGGGGGACACACCATCCAACAAAGGCAAACAAGAAGGGGTACAATGGGAGACAAAGGGAGACAAGACCCTCGGAAAGGGGGACGCGCCATCCAACAAAGGGAAACAAGAAGGTGTGCAACCGCAGACAAGGGGAGACAAGACCCTCGGAAAGGCGCACACCATCCAACAAGGGGAAACAGGAAGAGGTACGGGGTACAATCCCAGACGAGGGGAGACAAGAGCCTGGGAAAGCGGACACACCATCCAACAAAGGGAAACAAGAAGGGGTACAATGGGAGACAAAGGGAGACAAGACCCTCGGCAAGGCGGGCACACCATCCAACAGGGGGAAAACAAGAAGGGGTACAATGGGAGACAAAGGGGGACCAGACCCTGGGGAAGGCGGGCACACCATCCAACAAAGGGCATCAAGAAGGGGTACAATGGTACACAAAGGGAGACAAGACCCTCCGGAAGGCGGACACACCATCCAACAAAGGGAAACAAGAAGGGGTACACTGGGAGACAAGGGGAGACAAGATCTCGAAATCGAACCAACTTCGCAGCACTTTCATGTCCTTCTTCTTGAGGTCGCTTTGTTGCTTCTGCTTCTTGAATTCTTTGTTTTACTGAAACCGGCAAACGCAATGAACTGGTTGATTTCCTCTTCTCAGACTCCTTTCTCTCACGCTCTTGCTGTTCAATCAAATCATCATCAAAAACTGAATCCACAACAACTCCATCATGTTGTGCTGCCCCGCCTGCCTTTGATTCTCCAGCTGCATCAAGCTGTTCACCTTCATCAAGGTCTTCTAATGGGTTCTCTTTGGCATACTTGATCACGCCGGCAGCATCAACATCAAGTTCTGGTTCAACTTGACCAGGAGGTACAACAACTCTTGGAACAGGTTGAGGAAGAGGAAGTTCAGGTTGAACTTGGGTATGAATTCCACGCTTCATATCCCATGGTCCTACCTGCATTGCTAGAATCATCTCAGGATCCCAACGCTCATCTGTTTTTTGGGACTGCCTTGCTTCGAATCAACTCATGAGCACCGACGCAAACCACACTGTGATCGGCTTCATCTTTTGTCAGCCAAACACCACGTCGCCATTGACTTTGGTATCGAGCTTGTAGAGGATCTAGGGCATAGACTTCACATGCAAAACTACAGATTCTGCCATTGTAAGGACGTCCACGAAGCGCCATGTGTGATGTCACTCCCGTCACATTACTGACATGAAAACGATTCAAAATCCAGGACGCATGAATCATTGCCCATGCATGTAGGGGATGTTCTTCAGGAAGTTTTGCAGCTATCTTGTGCTCCACGTAGGCAATGAAGGTTTTGCCCTGCCCACGCACGGTTTGGATTGCGCGCTCAGCCAGTGAAGTTCTTGATTTGTTGTACATGAGTCCAGGTTGAAGGATTGTTTCTAAGCCATGATTTGCTCTGATGTTCTGCGCCATTCTCATTCCAGCAGCTAAAACTGGCTCATTGTCAAACGCTAGCTCAACCTTTTGGAAATAGCCCATCGTTGCAAGAAATCGTGCAACCACTTGACCAACAACACCTTGATTCTTGTTGCGCAACGGTTCTGCCATCACATACTTTGTCCAGCAGTCAATGAGGATCAACGCACTGAGGTTTCCAACCAGGGTGTAGAAATCTGCCTGAACCGTTGGATGTTCACGTTGAGCAACTTCAGGTAGGCTGGTAGCATGCTTGCTATTGTTCTTGGACTTACCCATCACGCAAAATGAACACCATTTCTTGAAAGGAACATGAGTGAATTCATGCAACTTACGCTCACGCTCCGAGGGTTGAGCAGGTGCATCATCAAAACGAGGTTCTGGGTTGAGAGCTTGGTATTCTTGCCTTGCAGCTTGAAGCGAGGCAAGACGGAGTGATTTGATGTGCTCATTCCTGATGCGCCTAAAGATTTTGGTTTTGCTGCCAGAAGCTAAAAATTTCAAATACTTTGCTGTCTCTCTCAGAGTCACGACTGAACTGTTAGGAGTGATCACAAGGTCACCAACAATCACTTGATTTTCATCTGCAATATCTTCACGTAAAGCTGGTGCAACCTGCTGAAACTCTGGGATATCTCTTCCAACAATTTCTTCACCTCGCTCTTCTGCATCCATCTCGGCTGCTGCAAATTCAGCTGCCACTCGATCATCCACAGGCGTTCCAGGTTCATAGTCTAGTTCAACTTGCACTCCACCATCACCTAGCAGACCACCAAAACTTTCAAGGTTTTCATTCCGCTCAGAGAGAATTGTGAGGATTACGCAGGATTCTTCTTGAGCATCAACTTCAGGAATGCGGCCAAATGCATCATCTAGCTCCAAGTAGTTTCGAGAGACTTCAGCCACTATCCAACCATGGTCTTCTTCTGCTGTTGAAACTTTCTGGACCAAAGTAGTGCGGTATTTGAAATTCACGCTCCACACTGGTCGAGGATCCGCAAAATGTGTTCCCACAGTTTTAATGTATGGGTTGCCATCAGAAACTGACCAAACATTGTTTTTAAGGTTGCTCAGGACGAAACCGGTCCTCCAATTCCACAACTGCTCGTACTTCATCTGCTTCTAACTTTGTTCAAATTCTTCAACTCTGCACACTGTCGCATTGATCGCCAAGGAATTGCGCTGGTAAAAGACAGGGATCTGGAGTGTTCCATCTGAACTCTCAAGCACAGGATTGCCTTCACCATGTCTTACATGCCAACCACTCTCGTACAACTGCCCCAGTGATAAAATGCACGACTTGACATCACCAATCAAAAAGCAATGTTCAATTTCTGCTTCACTTCCATCTCTGTCATTCACCAACAAGGAAACGTTTCTCTCACCTGTAGCCTTTGCCCTTGACAATCACGCAAGTGCACAGTGCTAGCATCTACACCTGAATCTGCCTTGCCACCATAGTTCAAAGGTAAAAGAGAAACATCAGATCCACTATCCAGGATTACAATGTCCTGTTGTTCTTCACATTCACCTTCACGAACCATGCGCACAGAAGATCCGGAAGATGAAGTCAAAGTAGGAATACCCATTGGGATGTTATAAATTCTGCGCACTGTAGAGGTTGAGGTAGAAGAGTTAGGCAAGGTTGTTCTCATGGTAGAGGTTGGAGAAGGTTGCAGCGGCATTTGTTGTTGACTCTGTTGTGGAACTTGCCAACTTGGTTGACTCTGTTTGGACATTCACGTGCCCAATGACCATATTCGTGGCATATTCGACATTGTTGGGCATCAACTTTTCCTTTCTGCTTTCCTTTTGTCTGTTTTCCACCATTCTTTGATTTGCCCTTGTTTTTGCCTTTGCTCTTTCCTTTTCCTTTGCCACGTCCACGTCCTTTGAAGTTGTTGCCACGTCCACGGCCATAGTTCAAAAAGCTACTACCAAAACTCTGCCAACCTTTGCCGTACTTGCCTTTGCCCTTGCCTTTGTTCTGGCCCTTTGCCTCAACGCGGTCCACCTCCATTGGTCGCGGTCCACCATCATCGTGACTGGCTGTATTCTGAATGGATTTGAGAACAGCTTCGCCAGTCCATGATTTGGAGGCTTTCTCATAGTTCAATACCACTTCTCGCAACTGTGCATATGTTGTTGTATCTTGAATAGTGAGTTGAAGATGTTCACGAAGCTTTGCGTCTGAGCACTTGGTGATTGTAGCACTTTTCAATTCACTAGGATAGCTGGTCCCACTGAGCTCTTCAAACTGGGGGACCAACTGCTTATAGGCTAAGATGCTCTCAAGCACTGACTTGTCTTTGGGAAATGCTGGATAGCTTGCAAGAGTCTGTGCAATTGCAAGAGACCTTTGGCGTGTTGAAGGTTCAAACTCTTTGTGCAACTCCCTCCAGAGTTGAAATCCATCACGGCTCTTTGACAAAGATTTCACCAAACTCAAACATCTTCCTTTGAGGTAGCTGGTGAGGATCGCAAACAATTTGGTTGAAAGTTCACGTTCTTCTTGATTGTATGGTTTCATCTCATCATTTGGATTCATCTTCTCAATCTCTGTGAATGCTGCTTGATATCGAGAATCACCGAAGGTAAGCCATGAAACAAATGAAAACTTCCACGAAGAAAAAGCATGCACATCTTCTCCACTGAAACTGTCAGGACTCCTCAGAATTTTGCTAGCCGCAGACAAACCAGTTTGCAGTGCTCCACCAGAACTGCTAGAACTAGAGCTTCCCATCATATTCAAGGCTCGCTCTGCTGCACTTGCTGCATTGGTTGCAGCTTCAGCTAGGATTGTCATGCGTTGAAGACAAGCATGTTCTCCCTGTTCTCCACCGACTTCCATTCCATGACAGTGCATTGCCCAGCTAGCAAAGAGGATTGCTTTCAGTTGAAGTTGACATTGAATTCTTTGCCGTCTCACCATTTTTTTCTGTTTTCGATTTTTGGGTGACGACAAACCACAGCCCAAGTGGCTCAACATCCATACCAACACCAAACTCAGCGCCCAGCAACACCATAGACTATTGACCGACATGAGTTCACCATGCCCCATGCAGTCCTTCGTCGCCGCAGCCAAAGCCATCGCCACGTACAAGTACTGCTGATAGTGCTTCACCAGGAAGTTGTAGATGTTCTGAATCAGGTTGATGACATATACAGTAGATCACCACGTAGTGCAACCATTCGAAGATCTTGAAGACGAAGTTCACCAAGCTCAAATGCAAATGCTTGTAGAGCTCGTGGGTGTCATTCTTCATCACCTGTTTTTCCACATACTCACGGTTGTAGTCATCCATGCTCCGCAATGCCACAGATGACAAACCAAAGTCATAGCCTCCGAAGCACACCACAAATTGCCCAGCTCGTCCAGCTGGTCCATCTTGAGCACCAATCTCCTTAGGAGACTCATCACAGGAGAAGCATTGGCCATCATGGGCTTCACCTGCACATTCCATTTCACATGCATTGATTGCACATCCCAGGCCTCGGGCCTTATCACATGCGCTGATCCAGCTCACCACCTCTAACTCCAACCAACTCATCTCCATGCATGACAGTTCGGTTGCCTGCCATTCCAGCTCCATCAGCATGTTCAGGTTGAAGGTTCAAATTGCCCTTCACAACTGAATTTTCACCTCTGGAGAGGTCATTGGCATGATCTTCCATGTAGTGCTCCTTCTTCTCCAAGCCGTGCGCACCATTCACCAAAGGCGTCAGCAGCACCAACACCATCGCCGTACACTTCTCGATTTGTGCGTGTCATCTTCGGTAGCATCATTGCCCCTGGCCGGGGCTCCGCTACCATCTCAAACTTCACGACACACCTTTTGTGTCACTTTCGAGCCACTATGCAGCATCATGTTGATGCTTATTGTTTCATGTCATGCCGTGCTGTGTCATCCTTGCGCAGGGTCATATTTGTACCTGGCCTATGGCGCAGGGTCATGCTAATCTTTGACATGTTTGTATATAAATTTATACAAAATATGATTATATATATATATACATATAATTATTATATGTATGTATATAAATATTATTTTTTAGATACATATATATATAATTATTACATATGTGTATATATATATATACATGATTATGATTATATATGCCAAAAGAAAAATGCAGACTAAAATGACTATGAACTACAGAATCCGTATATAAATCCCATGAGGAACTGAAGTGCACTATCTGAGCAGCATAAGATTCTGACTCTTTGGGCACCACTTGGCGAACTTGGGAGAGAGCTTGAGGCGCCAAGTATCCTTCGTTGACATCAATGCTCCGATCCAGAAAAATTGAACAAACGGATTAGCAAAAACACAAAAGGGAGGGAGCTCAAGCTTCCAAGTTGGATGTATTTTCATCTCCCACAAAGTACTTGACCAAAAATAAATCAACATAAAGATGGCTGGAAAATACTCCAAGAATCCAGAAAATCTGAGAGGGTACTTAACCATACAGCAAGCCTCAAACATCTCCAAGCCAAGAAAGCAAGAAAAAAGTAATGACAATGACACCTCTGTGAAACATATAATAATATTAATTATTTGAATATCTTTGTATTGGGTTTCCCAACGGTGTGGCCGATGATTGCCTTGTGCCGCCGTCCAGTGACAACGGTGTCACATTGGCGCTGCCAGGAGGGCTTCTGCGCGAAAGGCTTGGCAGAGAGGAGGGAAGCAACGCAACGAGGACCAAAGGGAAAACACGCAGGAAAATTGTCGGAAAATGGGAATACGGAAATACATGTACACAGACATTCATGCAGGCATCTTCAGGGCACCTCATGGACTGGTAGAGCAAACATCAGAATCAGAAGTGTAGAAGCAGCGGCAAACATATTATAGACTCATTTGAAGTTTGATAAGACATGATAAAACATGTGAAATTAAAAACAGCACTCAACAGGCGGCACTCCACCTCTCAGAAATTAAACCGTTCTCCTGCGCGTGCGGATAGCTTTGCGATCACTGCTACCAGTGATGGTCCATGCTTCAATATTGACTGTTCATCCTCTTCCAGTCTAAGTTGTATCAAATATGCTATCTCACAATCCATTTAAATTGCACAGGTCCAAATGTCTCCTGATTACTATCTGTCCTGCGTGTCACTTTGGCGGTGAAATTTGTGCAGACAAAGAAGTTTGGAGATATTCGGGAATACGTACATTTAAGTCAAGATAGTTCCAGCCCGGGGAGCACCAAACCAGCCCTGAAGGGATGTTGTCGACTCAAAATTCCGTGCGTGTGTTCAGCCGAATTCTGGGAGTTTTGGGCAATATTTTCTAATCAACTGTTGGCAAACTGGCAGTATAGATTCAATTGCTCAAATGATAGTACAGTCCATTAAAATCGACACGTGGATGAATTGAAGCAAGTTGAAACAAAAATCCAGAGAAATTTTGATTGATGCCAAAGATGGTGTAGCAATGTGGATGAGAACTGTAATCTAGTTTAGGGTTTGGATATATGTAAAAATGAGACAATTTGCAAGCATGACCTCTTTCCGCCTGCAGAGACCAACGAAAAAAATCGCGTGAATATCTATACTATATGCTTGCCTGATCAGAATGACCACCATCTGAATGACCCAAATCACGAATAAATTGTTTTGGATAGAATTTGAAAGAAAATTGCCAATCTCGATCACAATGTCTGTGTTCGGTCGAGCAGTTAGTAAATTTTTGGTGTTATTTATATAGTTTTTTACAATAGTGCCGCGGCAAGCATGGAATGCCAATGCTTTCATTTTGGAAAAATACCAATAACACAAAATATTGAACTGTAGATGATTCATTCACCCGATGAGGTTCAACAAGGTCATGCAAGACCTGCATGGGAAATGTTGGTGATCAAATTTTGTATGTTTGAGTTTGGTATTCAGCAATCCGTCATGAAATTGTTCGTCAATGATGTATACTGAATATAATGATTTCATGTTGACATGTTCGAAACCAAAATGTCAATCAAATCATTCACCATATGCAACAAAATTTTGGTGCCAAAACTGAATAAACCTATATGTTTCATTGATAATTTGTCCATTTTGTCTTGCCCCCCACACTGCCATAGTCCACAGCCATTGCATGACCAACAATTTCGATGGATCATTTTTCACTTTTGTTTGGAACCATATACGTGTACCATTCTCAATTGATCGAAGAAGTCAAATCGTAAGCCAAATTTGTGGTGTTTGTCCAATTGGTCCTGCACACTCGCATGTGATGCCAAATTTTTGGGCGCAACCTGGTTGGCTGACGGGTGGCACACCAAAATCTAGGGATGCGGGTGACCCCACAACTGTCTTGCACAGAAAACCTTATAAATTATATAACAACACACCAAGCAACCGAACAAAACCACACACACATACACAAACATCTTGGCAACTGGCCTCAGGATCATCGTTCCTTGGATGGCACAAACGGTGTAAACACCATCTCCTGCGTTCGAATATTTTGAACCAAGTAGAAAAATCATTGGAATATCAAAACCATGTTGTTTTCAAAAGTTGTTCAGGTCGGCGGGGTTTCACAGGTCAGGTCACATGCCAGGCACAGGCACAGCTGCGTTGCGTGAATCCCACATGACACACTGGATAAGGAGCTGGCCTGACAACCTGCATTGTCAAAAGGATGGCATTCCATGGCCGAAACGAAACTAAATTGAAAATTGTGCCACGAAAAATTTGCCCAAATCAAAAATATCAAACCTAAGTCTTTTGCAAACGGTTTCGTCGAAATGTTTGATTGCATGTATTTATAGCGAGGCGTTGCTGCCTTCCCTAATGAGTGGCACAATGTCCAAAACTAATATGTTGGTAGTTGTTCGCAACATGATTTCACATTTGATGGCCAAACATTGGAAATAGCAAAGTGTTTGCCCATGAAGATGTGTGATTGATTTTTGTCATGCAGCCAAATGCTGCAAAATGCAAGTCTGACGAAAGAAATTAGGACAAATACTTGGAAATAAAACGCTAAAAACAATTAACAAGTGCCGTAAGTGCCGTATGCCACAAATTTTGTTTTTTTCCGGCTGGAACAATTGGCAACAAACGCAACATTCACACGACCATACAAAATCATTTATCGCCTTTGCAACCGCTGCTGAGCCAGTACATGCTGATTGAAATCTCACAACTGAAGGTTGAAGTGACAAGTGAACAAAAATTGCAAATCGGATGGCTGAAGCTGACATGCTGGGGTTACTTTTTTTGACCATCAAACAGTGTAAAATTTGCAGAAACTTGGAACCTTTGGGCAACGTTGTCGGTGCATTAATCGCGCAAGCCTGCTGCGGTGGCTTGCGCTGTAGATTGACTTGCCGCGAGTCACATTGAAAACCTGACAAGGCAAATCTTGCTGGTTCACAGTGCGGTTTCCTTTTGAACATTTCCTTGACGCAAACACGCCTGAGGATTTGATCTATGTGGCATCATTTTGATTCACATTCAAGCAGCTGAAAGTGAAATGTCATTTGACATGAAGCAACTGCTACGCACATGTATATGCAACTGAAAGGAAGGGTGCAGAAGTACGTCAATTCTGTTCACCCCGCCTCAGTTTCGAATTAGTTCCCATGAAGAAACTGTCACAAATTGGATCTGAGGCTATCGACAAAGCCACAAAGCTAAGGGCAGATCCAAACCTAAATTCCTCAGTTCTATTTCCAAAAATTCCAAACTCAGTCATCTCAAAAGTCGGTGTGCTGAGTTCCAACTCTGTTGAATTTTTCTGCATGCCACACGCTATGATTGCATCACCACTTTGCATCACCACGTGGCGCAAGTCACGAACTTCCACCAGAAGGCCTTCGATCTCCTCCATGGCAATCACATCATTGCGGGCTTCAGCTTCATTCCATTCTGAAGGCAAACGGCGCTCCCTAGCAGTGAGCACTCCATTGGTTTCCACCATAGCGCGATGCAATGCAGCTTCATTGTCCAAGGGATCGTCCTGAGAAGGGCCAGACGATGGTGAATTTTCTCCATGATTGTAGTGCATACATAACTCAGGATCAGATACTTCACACATTTCTGAGTTCTTGTAACGGGCCTCGATCTCAGAAGGTGATTCCTCTGGGATCTCCTCTTCTTCACTTTCTTCATGAAGTTCACTTTCTTCAGTTTCCTGAATCCCAGCTATGGCACTTTTCACTCGTTTAACAGGTTTCAAAACCTTTCTGAGGTTTCCGTTCACCATGATACGCCTGTATTCATCCTTCATCACATCAAATTGCGTCACAAGGTAAAAGGAGACTCCAGCAAACTAAGTTCATTGCTTCACAGGAAAAGGCGCCAAGCAAAAGAACTCGCATGATTGACTTAGCTAGCCGCACCAATTTTCAAACCATTCTTTCTAAGCAACTTGATTCCTTCTGACATGGCTTCTGTTTGGTGGACCTTGTCAACCGTTTCCTGTCCAACAAATGCTGACTGTGATAAAACATACACCTTGCAAAGGTTCATGAGATACCGCATTCTGTCTCTATTGAGTCTTTTGGTACCAAGGTCTGCAGTGTTATCCCGTGTTGTCGCTGTTGAAGGGGCAACCAAACCAAGTTTGACTTCACGTTGTTACCAAAGAATTCTCACACTAATATGTTTGATCCGCCCAACGCCTGAGCGAAAGAAAAAGGCTTTGGCAGCAGAGTTGTCCAAGTTCAGCGTGAACTCCACCTTGATACCATCGTCCAACAAAAATTGGATGCAGGCTTGCATCAGTGTTCCATCACAACATGCTGAAACGCCTGCATAATTAATTGCTTCGGCTGAAGACAGTGCTATCGTTTTGGTCCTCGAGCTGGAGTACAAGAGGTTGCCAAAGAGACATATATGACCTGAAGAAAAGCTCTTACATGTACTTCTGTGCTTTGCCCAATCTGAGTCTGAATAAACTTCCATGGTGTACTCAGTTGGAGTGTGGTGCAACAGTCCTTGACGGTCACTGTAGGTCATCACGGTGCAGTGGTCAACGCAACCCAAAAGGTACAGGCAAAGGTGGCGCAGGCATAGGAAGGCCTGCAACACCTCCAACCATCTCTCCATTCCATGCCTTTGAGGCAGGCAAGCGTCTAACGCTTCTTGTAACAAACAACTGCTGAGCACCAGGTATGGCAATGATGTGAACGTCATTGCTCAAAGTCTTTCCCAACCAAACGCCTTTGGTCCACTGAGGTGCACCCTTGTGTGTCTGTTTCAGGAATCCAAGAACGGTTTCTCCAAACATAGCCAAACGTCCTGTGTACGCTCGATCAGCACACAATTCATAAGCTGCATGACCTTGACGAACTACATACCGATTGTGCAGAAAACACGCATGAAGTAGGGCCCATGCGTAGAGTCGGTGCTGGCATCCAAACACATCAGCTATGCCAACACCTTGTTCGATCTGTTGAATGAGCAAATTGGCCTGTTGTCTTACCAGTTTTACTGTGACTTCTGCAGCACCATTTGAAGCATGACTTGAGGGTCCAACCGTCTCAGTCAAAACTCTGATCCCCAAACATCTACATGTTTTCTTCACGGCCTCAAGAAGTGAAAGTGTTGAAGGTTCTTGATCACATTTGAGTGCTATTGTATCATTGCCACACCAAACAATGAAACAACAAAATTCAGTGCACAAATAGTTAAGGTATCGGCCTCCCTTTTGTGGCGCTGGTACCACACGCATAGCCCCTGAACTCCTGTCATAAATAAAGCGCACAACTTGTCATCATCACCCTTCGACTTGCATAACCAAAATCAAAAGAAATACAGCTATGCGCAGTTTCAGTGTGATGTTGTTCAGAATGACCATCTTCCTGTGATCGATTTGCAACACAAAGTTCACACCACTTGGCAAAGGGACAGTGCGCGAGATAGTGCTCTGCCTTCTCAGCATCACTTGGTTCTGCAGGGACTGGTTGTCCATGGACAGGTCTGGAAACATCACCTCGCAAATCACGATGTGCAGAATGAGCAGCAATAAGCTCTTGACTTTCTAGATGTTTCCACAAACGCTCCAAACATGTTGCCTTTCCACCGGTTTTGGAGAGTCCAAGGCTTCCACAAGCACCCCTCAACGTACGCAAGGGAGTATTGCTATCTAGTTTGACACCATCAACCATCACAGACTTGTAGTCCACATCTGGTCTCTCTGCAACTGGTAACTCAGCTTCTTCTGCAGCCGCTGGCAACTCATCTGGTGGCTCCACATTGGGCCTGACAGGGGCGGCAGCAGAAGGTGCTGATGCAGAAGAAGATTGGGATTGTGAAGATGGTCTCAAAGGAAAGTTTGCTGGCATCACCACGTCATCATGTACACTAAAAAAAACCAAAGCCTCTGGTGGTACCATGGCATCATGCGCAAGTGTGATCACCTCCACAGCTTGTTTTGCAGTTTGAAAAGGAATCACGGAATAACACGTGAAGAAAGGTCTGAAATGCTCTGACAAAATTCCTCCAGTTCCCAGGTGCCGTCTGCAAAACGCACCAACGTTGTTCTAAGCCACATCAATGACTCATTGGGGCAATACGTCGTGTCAACATGTTGAGGTGACACGCTTCTCTTCTCAAACCATAAACAGAGTCACTCAGCCTTATCCAACCACGTTGTAAACCAGCAAGGCTCTCGCCCAAAACAACTGCCCTGACATGTTCAACTGGATTGCTATCCATGTTGCTCAACATTCTGATAACACCCTTCGCACACAAAGGATTACGCTTGAAGTGGACTGGAATGCTCTTGCCATTTCTCAACAGAAACATTGAATCACCAGGGTTTTGAAGACACCATCCATCTCTGAGAAGACGACCCATTGAAATAAGTGGTGAAGTAACTGGCGCTATGATAAACTGCTCTTTGAAAATGACTGAACCAAATTGCACTTCAGCTATTCGAGCTTCCCTCACTGATATTGGTTTGCCTTGAGCATCAATGAAAGAAGAAGACTTGTCAAACGTTGGATCCCTGTGACCTATTGCAGCATATTCTAAGGGCAGAACTGAACCATCAGCTCCAGAGTCAATCACCACCTCCACTCTGCCGTCAGTCACGTTGCCAACAGCTCGAATACAGTCAAATGAAGAACGGCTGTCAGGTGAAAGGTCAATGCAGTAGCTGTCACAAAAAGTCCAAATACCATCATCATCAGTGCATGACATGTCAAAGTGAGTACAAGCGCACATGTATGCTTCCTCGACATGGTCCAAGTCATCTGAGGGTGAAATTTCAGCACATGAAACAAGGTTGCAATTGCCAGAGCTTTCATACAATGTGAGGTCACGGAAGTCAAACTCATCACCGCTGGGAAATTCTTCAATGATGGGGCCAACATATGAAGAAAGCAAACGCACAGAGCCAGTAGCTGAGGTCATGGTTGTTGAGGCAGCGCTTGAAGAAGCACCACTGCTAGAGCTCCCAGCGTTTTGCGTCCCTTCAACTTTATTCACATTTGCATTGGTGGGCTTCCCATGCAACTTTCAACAGACTCTTTTGAAGTGCCCATATTTACCACAATGTAAAAACTGATCACCTTAGGTAGCCGCACGTGGCTTTGAAACATCTTGTTTGCTCTTTCCCTTACCTTTGTCAAACTTACCCTTAGTCTTTTCCTTTGGAAAACGAAGAGTCTTTACTTTTCTGCTTTCCCTTGCCTATGCCTTTCTTGCCCTTTTCAAACCAGGCAATCTCCATAGGAGCAGGGCCATTGTACGCACAAGAAGCAGTAGAGCTGGATAGCAAAATGCCAAGTTCACTATGAATTCGACCTGCGCTCCAAGTGGTCGTCACCGACTCATAGCTGAGGACAAGCTCCCTGACATGGGCATACGTTGAATGCTCCGTCATCTGCAGCTGAATGTGGGTCTGCAATGCCTTTGGCAACGACTTGACCAAGATGCTCAACATCAGGTCATCAGCTACATCAGTTCCAGAAGATCTCATGTACTCGGTTCTCAAGCGTTCAAGGCCTAAGATCTGGTCCATCAGGGTTTTGTCCTTCAAGCTAAAAGCGGGTATATTCATCAACGCAGCAAGCAACGAAATTGACCTGCTCTTGGTCTTTGGTGAAAAGAGTTGCACCAATTTCCGCCAAACCTCGAAACCATTTCTCTCAGAAGTTTGGCGCAGTAGCCGCAAAGGCTTGCCACGAAGAATCCCTGTGAGGATATTGAAAAGTTGTTTGCATCTTTCTTGCACGTCATTGGGCTCGGCTCTAGGAAACTCTATCGAAGTTGAAGCTATAGTTGGTCTCGATTCTATGAAGGTCAGTTTCAAAACCACTATCACCATAGAACAACCAAGCTTTGAAGTTCACTGTGAAGTCTTGCCACTTGCTAAGATCTTCTTCATGATTTTCAGAACCAAACGGGTCAGGTTGTCCAATGACTTTTGAGGCTTCACTGAACCCCTTTCCACTCAAACCAGGTCCACGACTAGCCTGGGCCTCTCTCAAGGCAGCAGCTGCATCAGCAGCGGTAGGGGCAGCATCAGTTGCTGCTTGTATCAGCTGGGACACGTCCAACGCGCCACCATCAGCGGCCATGCTCCAAGCAAAGCTAAGACAACGAAATCCCAAATGGCTCCACCGACCTAACGGCAACGAAAGTTTCCTAGTCCAAGGTAGCTTCAGGTGCCCTCACCGGAATAAAGGGTCTGGATCACAGGGCTCCGCTACCATGAACATTTTCCTTGATGCAAAGACGCCTGAGGATTCGATCTATGTGACATCATCTTGATTCACATTCAAGCAGCTGAAAGTGAAATGTCATTTGACATGAAACAACTGCTACCCACATGTATATGCAACTGAAAGGAAAGATGCAGAAGTACGTCAATTCTGTTCACCTTTGCTTCAACTTCCCCCAATATAAATATCTAATAGCATACAGGAGTGCTGCCGCAAGCTCAAGCGCTGTTTTATGCGTGGTGCAACTGATCTGTGTCATGGCTGTACAGATTGTGTTGAAAGGAACCAGCGGGCCCAAGTAATGTACAAAAAACTTCAGATCCAGATGGACACCCCCAAACACAACCAAAATATACAAGCCCAAGTGCGGGGGCTGTAAACTGGTTGATTGAAAAAGGCGGGGAGTTCCAAAGCACGAACCACCTCCAAAGCCACAGAATGGTGGAGCATAGGGGGTGGTGGTGGGAACACAGAAACGAGGAAGCTTGAAACAAAACGGCCACGGACCAATATGAATTTCCGGGCCCTACCTGTGAACAATTATGTACAAGTACATGGCACGTTCACAGTGCAGTTTCCTTTGCTTCAACTTCCCCCAATATAAATATCTAATCGAAGGAAGTTTGGAAGTCAAACTTCCGACAATATGGACAGATGAAAAGCAGAGCAGGGAAGAGGCAGAGAGAAGAGAAAGATTAGAAGAAAGAAGGGTCGAAAAGGTAGGAAAGTCCCGAAACACTGTGTTTTTCGAATGATTTGGGGCTCCGGAGGGTCGAAAAGTAGGCTCGCTAAAGCGGCGGGTGCGGAGCCAGCTGGCACAGATGAGAGATGAAAAATTGCACGCCGTTGTGGCGCGAAGCACACTTCCAAGTCAAAATGTACAAAACACACCAGGTGCGGACCACTTTTGGCAGTTGAGATGTCCAAAAAGTGCACGCCGTTGTGGCGCGAAGCACGTTTCCAAGTCAAAATGTACAAAACACACCATTCTCGGACCACTTTTGGAAGTTGAGATGTCCAAAAAGGGACGCCGTTGTGGCGCGAAGCACATTTCCAAGTCAAAATGTACAAAACACACCAGTTCCGGACCACTTTTGGAAGTTGAGATGTCGAAAAAGTGCACGCCGTTGTGGTGCGACGCACATTTCCAACTCAAAATGTTAAAAACACTAAGGGTTCGGACCACTTTTGGAAGTTCAGATTTCGAAAAAGTGCACAGCGTTGTGGCACGAAGCACATTTCCAAGTCAACATGTACAAAACACACCAGGTCCGGACCACTTTTGGAAGTTCAGATGTCGAAAAAGTGCACGCCGTTGTGGCGCGAAGCACATTTCGAAGGTACAAAACACTAGGGGTTCGGACCACTTTTGGAGGTTCAGATGTCGCTTCGCTTCACTACACTACATTACACTACACTACACTCCACTACACTGCACTGCACTACACTACACTACATTACACAACCCTACAACTATACACAACTACACTCCACTACACTCCACCACACTAAATCACACTACATTATAGACTAACTTGAACTCCTCACATTTGCAAAAACATCTCACAAAGCAACGTGTAGGTAAACAAAAACAAAACACCAAAACCCACACGAGAGTATGTGACCTCTCAGTTGCCGCACGTATCACACACTATCTCAAACTTAGCGCATCCTACGCACAAACAAAACACAAACTTAAAAATAAAACAGCTGGCACATTCGAGAAAACATCAATGCATCTGAAAGTGGAATCGACTCACGGTCTTTTCTCGCACTGGCAAACATGGGCAAGTATCAAATCCTTCACGGTTGGATCTATCGTTCAATCCACAATTTTCTGGTGCTTTCCAAAAATGCTTTGCGTGAGAAGGACGCTCAAGAAAAATGCTCTGCTTCAAGCATGTAAATTCCCCCAATTTTTGGGGTGGGTGAAACCAAAGGTTTGGGTGGGTACAAAAATTGGGTGCGTTCCCAAGATGAAAGGTCTTTCCCTCCCACCCACCACTTGAAATGTAAAATTCACACAAAATAAAAATCAGCATGAATGCATTTCACTGACATGCACAAGACAGTGGCAAAAACAAAAACGTGCAACAACAAACCGAGGACCTCTGAAACATGCCTTCAAGACAAGAACAACCAAGGTTGTGTCACTTAGAGGTTTGGGTTTGTTTTGCCACGTTTAGTTTGTTTCGGCATACAGCTTCCATTTAAGATTTAGAGAAACCAATTGTCTCATCAACAAAGGTTCACGCCAACATTGGAGAAACAAGTTGGAAAACAAACTTCCATACTTGTTAGAAAAACAAATGTTCAGCTTCAAACATCTGCACTTATAAATGCATGTAGGTTGCGCTTCCGCGTATCGCATATACACAGTATGTAAACCTACACGCTTCGCAGGAGCATAAGGATTTGCGCAATGTAGTGAGGAGCAAGGGTCGCTTAACCCTTTATTCAAGGACAGTCTATAAACTACTATTGGCAAGCCAACTGTAATATTATAGACTAACTTGAACTCCTCACATTTGCAAAAACATCTCACAAAGCAACGTGTAGGTAAACAAAAACAAAACACCAAAACCCACACGAGAGTATGTGACCTCTCAGTTACCGCACGTATCACACACTATCTCAAACTTAGCGCATCCTACGCACAAACAAAACACAAACTTAAAAATAGAACAGCTGGCACATTCGAGAAAACATCAATGCATCTGAAAGTGGAATCGACTCACGGTCTTTTCTCGCACTGGCAAACATGGGCAAGTATCAAATCCTTCACGGTTGGATCTATCGTTCAATCCACAATTTTCTGGTGCTTTCCAAAAATGCTTTGCATGAGAAGGACGCTCAAGAAAAATGCTCTGCTTCAAGCATGTAAATTCCCCTGTCCGCTTCAGCCAGTTACAAACGTTCCAGAGCCTTTCCAGTAATCGGACACCTCGGGTGTCGAACAACAAAAGGTTTCATGAATTCCACTTGATCCCATCGTCCTCTGCTTGGAGGGTCAGCAACATTACTCGGCGAGGCAACACGCGCCATCCAAAGCAAACAGTTGAGATTCTCATCTATTTTCTCAAGTGCCAGCAACAATCGTCTCCACCACCTAATTGGGGACGAGCTCTTGACGAAGACATCAATGGCCGTCCAGTTATCACAAAAACAAATAACACGGCGACCAGCCATCACATCTTTCCAAAGACCCAAGGCCACCACCACCGCATACATTTCTGTCAAGCCGACAGGGTGGTTAAGCTCGGTCATCCAGTCTTTCAAAACATCGTCATCCACTCGGTTCCCAAACATCTGAACTGTATTGTCGTAAATGAGAACTCCTCCAATGGTCGCTTCCACATTTCCATTCTCGTTTGTCTCAACCGCACCATCAGTAAAAATAATGACGGGTCGTTCAGGCACATCTGCAGAAAGTTGTTGGGGTTTACCCGAGGTCACCCTAGCAAGCAAAGTCTTAAAGGCCTCCATTGAAACTGGATCCAGCACAAGCTGTTTCTGTATCTTTGCAGATCGTTCCCACTCCCTGATGTCAGCCAGAGCAAGTTTGCCCTGCCTTCCAGATATTCTCATTTCAGCAAATTGAACTCGCCCCAAAACTGAAGGTAAAGTGTCTACATCCATGTTCCCTCTCTCCAGGATCTTTCTGATCTCGGCAGCAAGCTCAGCTTTTCTAGTGTCCTTGTTGTCGATCACAACGCATCCGTGTTTGGACGTATCCAGAATGATACCAAGCATCTCTGACCTTTCAGCAAAAGGAGCGAGCTTGTCATGCGCAAAACGGAAACCCAAAAGTTTGAAAAGACACTCCACGCTGGATTTCGTGGAAGCAAGTTGGCAGCCATGGGCGATACAAGGAAAATCGTCATAGTAATTTGACCACCAAAGGTCAAGCTCAACACCAAGCCGCCATATCAGTCGTGCCACACGGTTGAAGTGTAGCACGCTCGCTGTGCTCCCAAATGGGAGTGTCCGCATCAAGAAGCATGCAGGTTTGTTGGAAGAAGGATTGCTAAGAGTAACAACTGTGCAATCATATTCGCTAGGGTGTAGCGCAAGCTGTTTGTAAGCGCTCTCCAAATCAAAAGCTGTTGTAGTCAATTTCGCATCGACACTCTTCCAGGCTTGATGTACCGGCGCTCTCAAACGCTCGCCATCACTCAGCACAAAATCCAGTTCACCTCCATGCAGACAGAACCTTGTGATGACCTGGAGACTCCACACCAAATGGTCAAGAGCCTGTAAGTCTATCTTCTCGCCGCAGCTGAAAGATTGGTTCAGCTTGTTCTCCTTCATATCGTCAATAGGCCGCACCTTGCCACGTTGAAAAACTGCAAACCTACGAACAGGTAACCAACAGTCAAACATGTTGTCAATGTCGGTCACGTCAAATGGGCCTTCCAACCAGTTCTTGTCCATGGCTTCCTTTACAGTGATGTCAAAAAGCTCATTTGCGTATTGGTCTGTACCACTCGAAGATTTCACCTTCCCAAGCAAAAGTGGCCTGAGAAATTTGCTGTCCTGCATAAGCTCCTGTTTGCCAAAAGCTGCAGGTCGCACTTCTGTCTTGAAAACACCAGAGGGAGGAAGGTATCCTGTAAGTTTGAAACCCTCCTTTAACTCAACGTGCAAGTTCTTGTCAGGCCACCCAATGCTCGTGGCAAGCTTCTCAAAAAGAAGTAAACGCTTACCAGCCAAAACTTGTGCAACTTTGGGGTGTAAACTCCGGTGCAGCTCTAGCTCTTTCTGTCGAAGTTCTCTTTCCCAACTGCTCCAAAGCCGCAACGTCTGTATTCGACGCCTTGTCATTTCTGCTGGGCTGTTTTTCAAACATCGAAAAATACACTGCACCATACAGTCTGGCAAATTCCTCAGTTCGTCAAAAGGATGCCATAGCTGCTTGGCAACTTCCACAAAGTCTTGCATCCCTCTACCACCCCTTTTTGCTTCAGTTCGAAGAAGTTTGGATCCCGCTGGTATTGAGTGCCAACTCGAAGACAGCACCTTTTTGTCGTTGATGGGAGGCATCTCGTTGGAGGTGACCGTGCGGACGGCAGCAAATTCAGGAATAATTTGTGGCAGAGCGCGACCCTTTGCTTGCTGTTGAGGTCGTACCTTTTCAGGCCTGTCTATTGTCGCCCGCTGAAAATTGGAACCAAAAGCCAGTCGTTCCAAAACATTTGCATATTGCTCACATAGGGCCTTTGGATACTCAGCTTCTTTGGCAGTGTTGAACTCGCCCTTTTCGAAGTCGTACCCCCACTGTTTATGGGGGTGGGTGCCGTCACAAAATTTTTCCAAAACCATGAACTCAGCTTCGCTGCAAAGAAATGCTGTCTTCTTTTTCCGTTCACCTCCATATGCACACGCATGTAAGTGGACAAAGTGTCCATGTGCAATTGCAAAACTCATCTCAGGCATCTCCCACAACCATGAATTTGATGGGTTCTCAATGGTCCAGGGCACGTTCCTAGAGTGCAGAAAACGTATAAACTCATCAGCCCATTTGTATAACTGATTTGCTGCATCAACCTTCGTCTGTTGCACTGCAGTCAGATTTGGACGCCCATGCAAATGTTCCATGTCACGCAATGGAGGAGGGCCCGGAGCCCCGTTTGGAAGTGGGATACCACGTGCCTTGGAGCACGTGCCGCAAGGAAGGGCAATGTGTACCCCTGCAACTTGATAGTCATCCACTATTCGTCGCAACAGCTGGTCAGCATGAGGTGCAGTAAGGTCCATCACCACCAAGCGGCACTTTGGAGTGTGCCTATTTCGCGGACAGTCTATTGGGATCACCTGGAATCCTCGTTGTTGTACAACTGAACTCAAAATACCACAACCTGCACAAGCCTCGATAAAAATTGGTGTACCCTGAAAACCACAAGGGCTCGTCTCAAAAATGACTGAATTACTTGCACCATCGGCATCACCGCCTTGCAAAATGCCATCAGCTGAATCTGTCTTAGACAAGTCATCCATGCCACTATCATCGGCCAGCGCAACTTGGCTGTCCTGGGCAGTAGACGCAACATCCCACTGCTTTTGGGTTGTTGCATCCAACTTCAACTTTGTTGAACTGCTTTGTCCAACCTCAGATCGGCGCTTGCGACCTGTGCTAACTTCTGAAGAAGGGCACGGCTGATGAGATTTTGCACTTGCATCCTCCTGTCAGTTTCCCTTTTTCGTCGGGCACTCAACCGCTGGATGTTGCTTCATACATCCACGAATGCAACACAAATGTAATCCACGATCACACTTCTGTCCACTCACCTGCAACTGACATGACTTCAAATTGTACCCAAAGCAAAGCCTGTTACCCTTGGGTGTTGATGCAACAGCCCCCAACTTAAGCAACTCCGTTGGGATCCTTTGAAAACCAGCCGAACTGGTCTTTCCCTGGCCCTTTGCTTTAGGGCTAGTTTTTGCTTTCTTGCTTGGCGGGTCGGCTCCTGCAGTTCCGCTTTCTCTCGGGGTTGCAACATTACCCGATCCTTGATTCATGCGAGGTTGCAACAAATGTCGAAACTCTGCGCTGTTGAAGACCCCTGCAAATGCCTGGTCACATGGCCGTCCAGTCTGGTTAGCTTTGATACCTGACCGGGTAGCCTCACCAAGCAAAACGAAAAACTTCTTGTCTGCGGCTTCCAGCTGTTTCATAGAAACCCTCTGATACCCCAAAGGAGGCTCTTGCATGCGAACTTCCAACAACAGTTCAGTAAGCTTGTCATGGTTTTCATATTCCATGATATTTGCCTGGTCCAGTGCTAGTCCTCTCCTAACAAGAGCATAACGCACTTGGATCTCAGACATGCTTTGCATTGGTTCAATCTTCGAGGTCCGGGCAAGCTTCAGCATACCGTCACTGGTAAAAGTCAGGTCAGTATCTTTCTTCGAGTTGTTCGCAAGTTCATACTCTCTGCTGATGCACAAGCTCCACTCAATGTAAGAAATGCGGTCTGATTCATAAGATGAGCAGCACTTGTCAACTAAGGCATCGGCTGGTTCGTACTGTCCTCTAATCGACAAACCAGAAAGCTTTGCCTGCTGAAGTTTCAAACGTTCTGCACGCTCTGCTGGTGCAAGCTTCCTTGAAACACTTTCGTCAGTCTGTTTGACCTGCGACTCAATGTCTGCTGCAACATTGGCATAACTCTCGTTGAATAACCTTCGAAGAATGCTTAACTCAGAAGGGTTGGGGTCCCGGCCAAGGGTGGATTGTAACATCTCCACAAAGGGCTTGTCACTGGCCGCCCCAGGAGCATAATTGCAGCTGAATGCAAACAAAGCCATGTTTTTGTATCCCTTATCCACAAACATCTTTAAGACTGAGGCTTCAAGTCCCATGTGTAGAGCACGTTGCTCGAACACCGCAGAGCTGTCACCGTAAGACATTGCTTCGAGGTCCTACTAAAAGTGACAAAGCTTCCTATCCATGACAGTATGTCCATGGCACATGAAAAATGTCCCAAAGAAATTGTAAATCGAACCATGCATGGCATGTCACAATCTGGGTTCAAATCAAGTGCACTCTTCACATCTTAAGTTCATAACTCCTCGCACCCCGCTTGAGGTGACAAACACCTGGACGTTCACCGGCTTGTCACGATCAACCTTTCAAACTGTGCTTCGCTTGAGATCGGAAGAATAAATTGGTGATGTCACTTGAAAGAACCACATGTGAGGTTGAAAACATGCACGCCACACTAGGAACTCAAAATCAAGTCATCCGAAAATGGCATCACAGGTTCACATCGAATTTCAGTGCACTGCTTCTCAACTGAAAAACAAAATGATGCACACGACCACATGCAAACAAGGTGCGTACTTGTATGCAAAATGACATGACGAATCACTGCATCACAAATTCCAAATGCTTAAGTTCTTGAACGGCGACACTGATCATCAGAAACATTCTTTTTATACATCTTCTAGGTCCTGAAGCATCCGCTGCATAGTGGGTGCATGAAGGCAGGCTTGGTCAGAAGAATCACATAACGATTGCTGACAACACGACCGCAAGTGAAGTTCAAACCAGACTCGTCGCGGATGGCATGTATGCAACGCGAGACCCTGTGTCTGGCGTACTGCTGATCTGCTGTGCCAGTTGTGGGCGGGGCCCAATGACCAACCAGTTCAGATACCACGGCCTCCTCTTCATCTGGATTTCCCTCCTCACCGCGGTGATGACAGTCACCAGTTTTCTCAGCGGGGCACTCATTGCATCCCTTGAGTACGTCAAAAGGGACTGATCCCTCCCAGAGCTATGATAGCCCAAAAGACGGCGTGTGGCATGGTCCAATCCAAACTTCGCCGACACTGAAAGCATAGTTGCCTTGCAGGAGTGCGTTGCCAATCTATCCTTTGACGTGCTCTCCACTTTCACCAACGACCGCAGCCAATCCGCCGCAGCTCCAACAGAAAGCGGCATCATGGACCAGCCACCCCCCATCTGAGGCGACGGGAGCATAGGATGGGGTGTGTCCCCATGCAGGCCAGCTTGTTTCCTGAGATCTATCCAAACCGGCACCCAGCTAGGGATCAGAAAGGAATCCAAAGGCACTGCAACTGGAAGAAAACGTATCTTCCGTTCAAGAGTGACTGATGTCTTGGTACGTTCCGCCCTTGCCTCCAAGAACCCAGTCACTCCCGCTCCAGTTTCATGTGCATCAATGTGCAAATCAACCAGTTGCAAACCATCACTGTACCTCAGACGTCCAAAAATGAGCATCAAGAAGAAACCAGCAGCTATACGGTCGTACGAAGTCCTTGCCTCGTCGTGTACCGTTCTTTCCAGCATCAAAATCTGGTTCACCGTCAGTGGAGGTCTCTGCACAATCTTACGGCGGTCAGCATAGTGCGAGTCAGCTACACCCTTGATACGCGCCGACTTTGCTGCAACATCTCCACCTGCCAATCCAAAAACATGGAATGCAAAAGACAGCGAAATCAGTAGTGATCGAGGTGCTGTAGGAGCCCAGCCAGTTTGCGCCTTTATGTACTGGTACACCATGTCCTCTTGAATGGGGAAAAACTCAACACCCCTGTCACGCCAATACTTGGCAAATTTCAGCAATGGACCAGCTCTGCAATGCAAAGTTGCCGTGGCACGGCTGGCCAAAGAGTCCACCACAGATTCCATGAGCCCACCGCGAGCGTACTGGACCCCACTGCCAGCTGCCACAGTTCGTCCAATAGCCCAGGCGCTGAGCTTCATAAGGATCAAAGAGCACCACTTCTTGCAAGCGCATTTGCGCTCCCAGCTCAAACGGTCTTGCCAAAGCCTCTGGTCCGATGAGCTCACTGCCCTCAGCCCAACCTTAGTGAATGAGTCCTCGATCATCTCAGACTCCACCTCAGACGCCACTTCGCCTGCAAAGTGTGGCATAGGTGGCATCCTGGATCTCCATGACGGTAGGGCCAAGGCATCTGCTGAAACACTCATGGGACTCTTCAGCTTCAAATCCCATGGCATCACATGCAACCGTTTGTTCTGTCTAGCATTCCAACAAAATTGAGTGTGCAGCAAAAACGCATCAGGAGTCTTTGTAGACCAATCATCAAAAATCCTTTCTTCACCCCTCGTCCGCTTCCAGCTCGTCATCGTCTGAAGACACTGACCCAGAACTGTAAGAAGCAACTGGAGGTGTTGGCACGGACCAAGCTGACAGCTCCAGTCCAAGGCGCCAATCCGTAGCGGCTAAAGCCACTTCGGCCCTGTCCACCAAAATCACGACACACGTGTGTGAAAAACGATGCACACTGAAAGTATCCAGAAATGCAAAAACCCTCAGGTTGATGACAAACTGTCGCCAGACGCAATCCAGAAAAAGACAGCTGTTGTACCCCTGAAGGAAACGTTCCAGTGGACAAGGTATCACCATTCACAGCTCGTATGTTGTAGGGCTATCCAAAGGCTGAAAAAGTAGCCACAAGAAGCAGGCAATCCACCCACACGTGAAGGATGCAATCACCACACAAATCAGTGAAAAACCGAAAGGAATCTTTGCAGTCGGCTTCACTGCTGCACTGCCCCGTTCTCGGATGCCCATATGCTGTGCTACAAAAATTGGGTGCGTTCCCAAGATGAAAGGTCTTTCCCTCCCACCCACCACTTGAAATGTAAAATTCACACAAAATAAAAATCAGCATGAATGCATTTCACTGACATGCACAAGACAGTGGCAAAAACAAAAACGTGCAACAACAAACCGAGGACCTCTGAAACATGCCTTCAAGACAAGAACAACCAAGGTTGTGTCACTTAGAGGTTTGGGTTTGTTTTGCCACGTTTAGTTTGTTTCGGCATACAGCTTCCATTTAAGATTTAGAGAAACCAATTGTCTCATCAACAAAGGTTCACGCCAACATTGGAGAAACAAGTTGGAAAACAAACTTCCATACTTGTTAGAAAAACAAATGTTCAGCTTCAAACATCTGCACTTATAAATGCATGTAGGTTGCGCTTCCGCGTATCGCATATACACAGTATGTAAACCTACACGCTTCGCAGGAGCATAAGGATTTGCGCAATGTAGTGAGGAGCAAGGGTCGCTTAACCCTTTATTCAAGGACAGTCTATAAACTACTATTGGCAAGCCAACTGTAATACTATACTACATTACACTACACTACACTCCACTACACTACCCTACACTACATTACACTACACTACACTACCTTCCACTACACTTCACTACATTACACCACACTACACTCCAATACACTACAACTACAACTACACAACTACACTCCACTACAATACACTCCACTACACTAAATTACACTACACTACACTACATTACACTCCACTACACTACACTACACTACATTACACTGCACTACGCTACCTTCGGCTACACTTCACTACATTACACTACACTACACTCCACTACACTACAACTACAGCTACGAATACACAACTACACTCCACTACTCTCCACTACACTAAATTACACTACACCACACTACATTACACTACACTACACTACATTCCACTACACTCCACTACATTACACTACATTACACTATGCTTCATAGATAGGCCTCTCACGTGCTTTGCTTGCAGTTCCACACGGTGGTGAAATGAAAACCAATGCAATGCGCCCCGCTTCTGCAATTAAAGTTTGTGAAGCAGATTCAAATCATGTTCAACTGTCAAATCTAAAATCATGATTTCCGTGCCACAGCTTCTGTCATGACTCTTGTCGATTGCAGGCCCCCATGATTCCACGTGCCCGGATGATCTTTGTAAGCCCGAGCCGTGCCTGCACAAACCTCAACCACAAGCAAAATCCTGCAGTTCCAAGCCAGAAAATTTGTAAGCCTTGTCATTGGCAACCTCTTGTTCCAATGTCGGAAAATCAGAAAAACGTGTCCATGTTGCCACCAACAGCTTTGGGATCCGATCCTGTGTCAACTCGCATGCATTGCCGGAATGAGCCTCGAGCTTATCTGCGGTTGGTAGCAATGACCTCAAGGCTTTTGCTTCAGCGCACGACAGGACACTACACTATGTTCCAACTTGTGGCAGTTCGCACAGACATGGAAACCACGTTTGCACCGTTGTCCACCGTTTTGATTCGTGGTTTCATTGGAACATCCTGTCTTGAGATTGTAGCTCCAGCATGACTCAGTTTCAAACTGAACTCCTTCAACTCCGTTGCGGCAGGCTTTCTGCGCACGTGTCAGTTTCCGTTTCTTGGTTGCTGTAACTCCAGGCTGGGTTTTGGAGCATCACTTGACACCTTTCCTTGCACAGTTGTAGCTTTGCTGACCCTGAAGGAACTGGTGGCAAGAACATAGTCGGTCCAAAGTTCCGTGTCAGCCTTGATGACTTGTTCAGCACGGACAGCATGATACCCAGCAGGGCATTCCCTGGTCATCGCATTCAGCATGTAGTGCAACCATGTCATATACATCCTAATCAAGCAATCTACAATTGTCCACAGCCAAAGCTCTGCGTTGAAAAGCCCACATCAATTTCAACTCTGTCCCCAAGTCTGCTGCCGAGAGATAGGTACCTGGGAGAGCTTGAGTGTTGCATTATCCACCTGGACTGTTGAAGCTGCAGGTTTGATGTTTGCATGGACCTCGTCATCACGTTTTGAACACCTTGATGGCGCTATCCAAACATTTGCACCCGACTCAACAATTGAATTTGCAAGATCCAAAAGTTGATAGCTGGCGGAAAGCACCTACATTTTGACACTTTTCAACCACTTTTGTTATTTCTCCAGCCTCGCTTGTTTCTCAGCTGCCGGCAGCTTTTGGACAAATGAACTGGAGTCTGCTGAATTTTTACTTGTTCGTTCAACGTTGCAACTATCAATGTTGTAGCTTCGAATCTACGAAGACTGGAGACTTGTCCTAAGGTCGGCGCCCTGCCAAAAACTCCTTGTTGCCAGGTTCTCATACTGGGTGTCAGTAGGAGCCACCTGTCGGGTGCTTATTGCTGAAGTATTTGATATCCTGATCTTCCAGTTTACTTTTGCGGCCACTAGAGCAACGGCCCCTGTGCGAATTAAATAATTTATCTATTTCGCAACAGTCTTTGATAGCTGTTGAACGACCTGGCGGAAGCCACATGGCGTTGGACGGAAAAAAAAATCAAACCATTCAACAATCTACCGTCGTCGATGTCATTACACCTCTTTTCAAAAAGTTGCAACTTTTTTTCCTCTAGTCGCCTCTTGGCTGTCGCCAGGTCGATCCACACGCTGGCTTGGCATGCAACATGTTCCATTAATTCAAGCATTGTAATTATTCCATCTTTTTGAGTGATGGGCCGCAAAAGTAGTGCTGAAGGAGGACCGGTACACAGTCCAATAGGCCGCCACGATGCAAAATGAAGCGGAAAACCCGACCAAACAAGCAAAACAAAAAGAACAAAAGAAGCAAAAACCAAAAACAAACAAAACAGCAGTGCAGGAGCGAAACATCACAAACAAAATCGCCATACAAGAGATGTGAGAGAAAGCAACACAGCACTGTGCGGAAACCAGGGCTTCCCCCAGCCACGAGCCCCGAGATCACACAGAGCAAGCCACGCGGGCATAAATTCTCACAAATCTTGGGTAAAACGTGATTAGCAATGACACGTAGTCAGCGGAAAGGTGAAACGAAGAGTGAGACAGGGCCATGATGAGAAGTGATGGACGCGCTTCCACCTTTCAGGGTCCGCTCGAGTCCACTTCAGGTGTTCTTTTTCAAACATTGCGCTAACTTTGCTGTCGCCCATGCGGGTTTGATTTGCTTGGCATGTGCAATACTTCTGGCAGTCACAGTGTGAAAACTGACAGCGTTTAGTGCAGATTTTGGTGGCATGTGCGGTATTTACGGCGTGTGTGACACTGAACCTCCAGAGGGTGAGCGTTTAGCACGACAGTTGTGGCACTACACGCCTTTTACCATGGAAAAAACCAGCAAAACAGGTCCAGCGTGGGGCAGTCGTGGAGCACCCTTCAGCGAAGGTACCTTAAGCCCCCTTCGAAGGTACCTTAAGCCTTTGCCGAAGGGGGGACGGGGGGGAGGGGGGGGGTGAACGAGGAACCGAAGCCCCCTTAAGGTACCTTAAGGGGGCTTCGAAGGCTTCGAAGGTATCTTAAGGGGGCTTCGAAGCCTTCGAAGGTACCTTAAGGGGGCTTCGACGAAGGTACCTTAAGGGGTCTTCGCCGAAGACTTCGAAGGTATCTTAAGCGGGCTTGGACGAATTCTTCGAAGCCCCCTTAAGGTGCCTTCGAAGCCTTCGAAGCTCCCTCAAGGTACCTTAAGGTGGCTTGGAGCGTTGAAGCCTTGGCTGAAGCCTTTGAAGGTACCTTAAGGGAGCTTCGAAGGCTTCGAAGGCACCTTAAGGGGGCTTCGAAGCCTTCCTCAACGGACCTTCAAATTCAATTTCTCAAGCTCCCCCTTAAGGTACCTTCCTGAAGGGCCTCTCACCGACTGCCTGGGGGCAGTCGTGTGGAAGGCAAGAGAATTAGATTTCAGATCATGGTATTGTGGAAGGCAAGGGGGGAAGTTTAAATAAAAGTTAGAATTTAGATCATGGCATTGTCGAAGGCAAGGAGGGGGAAGTTTAGATAAAGAGTTAGATTTTAGATCATGGCATTGTGGAAGGCAGGGGGATGAAATTGAAACAAAGAGTTGGAATTTAGATCATGGCATTGTGGAAGGCAAGCGGGGGGAAGCTTTAAGTTAGATTTTAGACCATGGCATGGTGGAAGGCAAGGGGGAAATTTAAATAAAGAGTTGGAATTTAGATCAGGCATTGTGGACGGCAAGGGGGGAACTGAAGAGTTCGATTTTAGATCATGCCATTGTGGAAGGCAAGAGTGGAACTATAAACAAAGAGTTAGATTTTAGATCATGGCATTGTGGAAGGCAAGGGAGGGGGAAGTTCATAAAAAGTCAGATTTTAGATCAAAGTTTTAAAAACAAGAGTTGGATTTTAGACCATGGCATTGTGGAAGGCAAGAGGGCGAAGTGTAAATAAAGAGTTGGAATTTAGATCATGGCATTGTGGAAGGCAGGGGAGGAAGTGCAAATAAAGAGTTAGATTTTACTTCATGGCATTGTGGAAGGCAGGGGGGGAAGTTCAAAGAAAGAGTTGGAATTTAGATCATGGCATTGTGGGAGGCAAGCGGGGGGAAGTTGAAATAAAGAGTTAGAATTTAGATCATGGCATTGTCGAAGGCAAGGAGGGGGAAGTTTAGATAAAGAGTTAGATTTTAGATCATGGCATTGTGGAAGGCACGGGGATGAAATTTAAACAAAGAGTTGGAATTTAGATCATGGCATTGTGGAAGGCAAGCGGGGGGAAGTTTAAGTTAGATTTTAGACCATGGCATGGTGGAAGGCAGGGGGGAAATTTTGAAGAGTTCGATTTTAGATCATACCATTGTGGAAGGCAAGAGTGGAACTATAAATAAACAGTAGATTTTAGATCATGGCATTGTGGAAGGCAAGGGAGGGGGAAGTTCATAAAAAGTCAGATTTTAGATTCAAGTTTTAAAAACAAGAGTTGGATTTTAGATCATGGCATTGGAAGGCAAGC